TTGAATATCACCTGGACACGATCTCCATCCTCAGAATCCACTTCTTTAAGATCCCCCCAACCAAGGACAATGCGAACCTAATGCTGAGATGAGAAAGAGGCATCCAGTTCCCCCAGAAGGAAGACACCGACGCAATTACCGCGATTTAATAAGACGCTACCCTCACTCCACGCATCCTTCTGCAGTGATTTGGATTCATCCTCGAAAACAGGGCGACGTGGTCTCATGGAGTTATATGACCTCGCAAACTTTTTTGTGTCCATCACCCTGCTCAGAATTATCCTGGGTCTAGTTTCGTAGGGTAGCCACATTGGTCGAATATATCCAGGAAGTCAAATTCCTTCCCAGGCGTCGTTTTTGGAGAAAATATCAAGTACTGTTCCAAATGTACTAGATACGCGTACTGATTGCATATACCTAGTACGAGGGATTTCTCAAAAGTTCTGCCAGTAGCCCACAAGTCGTCGTCGGAGGCGGCCGCAAAGTGCTGCACCAATTCGGGAAAATCTTTTTTTTTTAGTTTCTCATCTGGTTGGATCCATCGCATGAAAAAATGCATCGAAATCGGTGGGGAGTATGTGGAAAAGGTGCGAAATAGTTGCCTGTGGGAATAAAGATCAGAACTTAATCATGGAACACTATATATTTTTTATTTCTTTGGGGCTACTGCCAGAACTTTTGAGAAATCCCTCGTATATGGTAATCACCATGTTGGGCAAGTAGTCGCCATCATATTTCGCAGTCAAGAAATCTTGTTTCTTCGCATGTCTCGCCAGACATCTGTTGATGTAAAGTTGACCGGACAGCATTCTCTCAATATTGATCTTTTTAACATGGAATCAACATTGAATCAATGTTAAAGGATTGATGCCATACTGAAGCGTTCTTTTAATTAATATGTGAGGAATGCAGCCGCGGTGAAGTTGTTTTACTTCTGTCCTTTCATTGGATAACCTACATTACTTTGATACGTGCTAAAGGCTTTCACTATACTCATATAATCGTGTTAGTAATAAAATATAATAATGCAATAAAAAAACACATTCATATGGGAAACACTGCGTGAAGACCATGTACCATCAAGACCGTCCCAGAAAACACTTTTTTTTATTAGTAGTAATGAAAATAAGAATGATTTCAGCAGCCGTTACAGTTCAAGCTTAATTAAAATATATCTAGCTAGTGTCATCACGTCATTTCTCCTACACCAAGCCCTTAATGGCATGCATAAACACGTCGGTGCCTATTTCGAGAAATAGGTCTGACACAATAAGGTTTTGAATCGGTGCTCCTAGTTATGCGAGCCGAAAATGCCATTATGCTTGATTGGTGCGACGAAATTCGAGTGCCTTTCAGCCACTGTTTTATTTGCTCAAAATCGAACGTTCCTCTTGAAAGAAATATTTCCTGGTAGATCAGCTCAAGTAATTAAGTAGCTGCAAACACTGATGGAGAAAGCATTAAAATAAATCATTTACTGCAGATACTTCGACCGTGAATGGTCCAGCATTGAATGAATGTTGGCCCAAAGTGGGTGTATAAACTGTGACGGTCACCGCGTTGAATCAATGTTGAAGTAGCAACAGTGATACATTCAATCCATACCCAGTCAATAATGATTCAACGCCTCATTCCAAACACGTCGGTCTCTATATCGGGCATGAAAATACCAGATTTGTTCAGATTTCAAACTCCTGTTTTGCGTCACCTAGGTGGCCCTTGTGATCCAACAGACACAGGGCCACTAAACTCCATCGTCCAGGTGCCCCACCCCTAGGAAACTAAGTTTTGAAGTTCAGGGCTACTAGACTGCCCATTGCAACGTTGCTTGCAAAACCATTTTTTAACGATTTTTTTGGGGAAAAAATAATTTATTTAATCTAATCAAGAAGTCGGACATGCGACAGAATGCGCGTTTGAATGCGAGCGTGGTTCGTAAAATGCCTGTCTCCCGTTGTAATGTTAGGGATGACATGGAAAGGAATAGAGACATACCGGAGTTTCGTGGCGTAGTCATGACACGATTGCTTCGTAATCAGGAAGTCTGGGGTTCGCATCGTTTTGTTTTTTGTCTTCTTATGCTACCCGAACTCTTCCCCCACCCGCCTCGGGCTATTACGTTCTCGAGAATGGATCCGACAGTCGCAAGAGCCGGAAAAAAAAGTGCTCCTTCGAGAAAGGGAGACGTACTCCCGAGGCAGGCAGAAAGCGACGCAAATGCGCACATGGACTTGCGGACATGCGCTCAGAACCAAGCATCGGAGGCATCATATGCACGAACGCAGCTTCATTGTGTTTTTAATATATAGGACTAGCTGATATACCCGGTGTTGCCCGGGGAAATTCCCCAGGGAAATTCAATATTTAATGGATGACAAATTGGGGAACGTAAGCCTTATGGTTTCCTATACGTTACCGATCTTGGGTGTCGCAAAATATGCTCGGACCCCTTTCCCTTTAAACATTTTTTTTGCACGCTTTGAATCATTTCGCATTTATTTTTAAAGGAAAGAAAACTTATTGGTAAAATGCTTTTATCGTTTAGAAACATATTTTCGATGAAAACTTGATCAAAAGAATATTACTTACTACCTACTGTAGTGATCCAGAAATGAGTTAACCCCGGGATACTGTAATGCAGGTGGCTGGGAAGGGAGAGTTGGATGACATGAGAGGACAAAGAAAAGCTGGGGACGGCCGGGAATCGAACCCGGGCTCCCTGATCGTCGATCAGGTACGCTACCACTGCACCACCGAATCCAGGTGTCAGTCGCTCCTCTTAATGCCATCTCAGACAATACAGCCTCCCGGAAAAGTACCCCTGGAGTGAACATTTTGGATGGAAACATAGCCCTCGACCTTCCCTGGATGAAAGAGGAGGCCATGCAAAGTTTGATTGCACTGGCTTCTGCTGGGTCCAAATGCATAAAAGAACAGACAGACAGACAAACTTTCTTCTTTATATATATACAGGGTGTTAAGAAAGTTGTGTCCCATCACAATATGTCTATAACCTCAGCAAAAATGTGAAAATCAGGAAATTTTTTTAAGCACAACAAAAAGGACAGTTAACTGATTTAGAATCACTTAATAGTTTTCAATATAGCCACCCTTGGTACAAATGACAAGGTTCAGATGACCCATGAAAGCATCGACTGATTTTCCCAAGTTTTCTGCGGAATTCTCTCCCCATTCTCTGTTCAGGGATAGCTTGAGAGAATCCAAAGAATGGCGTTTTGTGGCTTATTTTTTGCTCTTCAAGATGGACCATATTGAAAAATCTAAATCTGATTTTTTTCAAGCCACTCAGCATCAAGGGGCAGCTTCTGTAATGGTCTGGGCCAGGATTACCGCACTCCGCTCGTTTTCGAGCCTGAGAAGATGAAGGTCAACGCTGATGTTTACCGGAAAAGCATCCTGGAAGACTGCCTGGTTCCGTGAGCCACAAAATATTTCGATGGAGGACTCCAGCAGGACTCAGGGCCAGCTCACAAGGCACGGATGACCCAGGAGTGACTGTGGACGAATGTCCCTGACTTCATTTCGATTTCACAATGGCCCCCTTACTACCCCAATGTGAACACCCTAAATTTTCCAATTTGGTCCATCTTGGAGAGCAAAGTGTGTGCTACAAAGCACTGTTCTTTGGATTCTCTCAAGCTATCCCTGAACCAAGAATCGGAGCGAATTCCACAGGAAGTCTGGCAAAAATCAGTCAATGCTTTCATGGGTGGTCTGAACCTTGCCATCCGTGCCAAGGGCGGCTATATCTAAAACTATTAAGTGATTCTAAATCAGTTAACTGTCCTTGTTATTGTGTATTTAAAAATTTCCTGATTTAAAATTTTTGCTGAGGTTATTGGCATATTGCAGTGGGACACAACTTTCTTAACACCCCGTAGAGATGGGTCACATCGATCAAGCCTCGCAATAGCACTTTCATTCATTAGTAAGGTAAATGCCTAGATATGAACATGTCCAAGTCAATCGATTAATTGGCTTTAAAAGTATATACATATATGGTTTTTTATTGAATCTCCTTTTTCTAATTTTACGTTTGTATTGAGACAATTCCACTATGTGTGATGCTCGGGAGAATTTCTTTTTCTTTTTGCTTGTTTGCTGCGATAGACCTTAGGCCAGGCGTAATTTCAGCCACCCTCATATCTGCCCTAAATCAAGAATTTTTCGGTGATCGTAATGTATTCTGGGCGATTGGCTAAATTACTCAACGAACCATGATGAAGTAAACACAAAAAATCCAAACGGTGGATAAAAAAATTTTGGAAGGAAACATAGCCCTTGACCTTCCCTGGATGAAAGAGGAGGCCTTGCAAAGTTTGGTTGCACTGGCTCCTGCGGGGTCCGAATGCATAAAGGAACAGACAACCTTTCTTCTTTATATATATTCGTATGTATATAGATACAAGAATACACAAAAAATCCCAACGGTAGATTTAAAAAAAGGGATTTTTTTTTTACCGTGAAAGAATCCATTGAATCGAGGTTGATTTAATGTCGACACTTCCACCGTGAATAGTGCAGCATTGATTCAATGTTGAGTCAATGTAGGCGTATAAACGGTAATGGTCACCGCGTTGAATGAATGTTGATTCACCATAGAAGTATAAACCTTCAACAGTGAAACATTCGATCCACACCAAATCAACGTTGAATCAATGTTATGTGCTACCTGGGCAGTGTCTCACCTTGCCTGAACGCCTCGACCTCCCAAGTAGCACACTCACGTTGAATCAACGTTGATTCAACGTCATTTCGTCAACGCAGCTAACGTTGAAATCACGTTGCCTGTCAACGTTGATTCTATATTGAAAGTTCATTTTTATCAACAATTGAATCAACGTTGACATCAACGGTATGTCAACGTTGATTCAATGTTCAAAAGCAACATTGCAACGTTTATTCAACATTTGCTTATCAACGTCGACTCCATTTTGAAAATCCATTTTTTTCAACATGGAAGAAATATTGAATCCACGATGGTTCAACGTTGATATGACACGTCTCAACAATCTGTTTCATTCATGCACATGCGCCGTTTCATGACTGAAGTATTATTTGAATATCATCTGGACACAATCTCCATCCTCCAAATTCGCTTTTTTAAGATCTAAGGACAATGCGAACTTAATACAGAGATGAGAAAGAGGCATCCTGTTCCCCCGGAAGCAGGAGGACACCGGCGCGATTAGAATTCGGAGACGAGACTGACTCCACCATACGACGACGTGTGTTGAGGTGGTGGTGGGTCATGTCTAAGGTATCAGGCAGAAAATTATGATTGTCTCGTCCCTCCGTTGAAGCCCTGTACACATTGCGCGATCACTTGTCGCGTACACACCTGAGTTCACATTCTTCCCTTTTTTGGACCTATTCGCCATGACCAATTCACCGAGATTTTCGCTTCTCGTCTCCGGCTTGACATCAGGCGCGTGCAAATTAACAATTCTTCTTTCCAAAATAATTCCCTCCGTTTACTATTCCATTACAAGCAAATAGCTGTCATAGCGGATAAGCACAACTGTTCCTTAAATCCTAAGCTTTCATTTGTTTTTATTTCTTCTTGTACATGTTGATTGCAGGATCATACTTCTCGATGTAATATGATTCCAACTTTTCCAGATTAGTTTTGGAATCAGCCAGTGTGACATGCAATATGGTAACATTCAGGCTCTCCCACCTCTTTGAAGAGTTAGCCATACATTTCTTCATGTGGTTTGGGATCCCCTGCACGACCTTCTTTTTCTCCATGTTCTCTTCGTGCCCCTCCGAAATTGATGTCCTCGCAGTCACACCATCCTTTGTCGTAATTGTCTCCATGTCTCTAAAATTCTCCTCATGCTCCTTAGAAGTCGATTCCTTCCTTGTCTTTCCATCCCCCTCGGCAGCTGCCTCATGTTTCTGTCCATCCATCTTTCTCTTCTTTGACTCTGTCTCCATTGCCTCCGCACTCATATTTTCCCTTTTGGGTGCTCCTGGTGCAATTTTAATTTTATGTTGCCCCATTCTAGTCTTGAGGACATCTGTTGTAAGACCAATGTATTGGTGGCCGCATATGTTGCAAGTTATGCAATAAATGACATATTGACTTTCGCAGTTTGCGGTTCCCAAGGCTACGATCTCGTGCGTTTCCAGTTTTCCATCTTTTCCTTTCATCTGTATTTCATGGCCATTTCTACCTTCCATTCTGGGACATAGGAAGCAATTTTGGCCGCAGGGCTTTGACCATCCCTATGAAGGAACCGAAAAATAATAGATAAAATAATAAATAATTCAATATGAAAACTCTTCTGGCATTAGAATACGAAAAACTCATTCACCACTGAAAATGAAAGATACAATACCTTGGGAGTGTACTTCCTTGTGATAGATTCGATGTATTCTCCTTTCGATCGGTGACACTTTTTCCACCGTTTTTGCGCATAGGACGATATGCAGGTCAACATGTCCGGAGTAATTTCTTTAGTTGCCTTTTTCAGCATGCTCCTCAGCTCCTTAACTGTCTTGGGATTCTGCGAGTAGACTTTTTCTTTTAGAAACCCCCAGAGAAAAGAGTCAACAGGAGACAGGTCAGGAGATGCAGGAGGCCATTTGTCACTAGAGATGATACGTTCCATGAAAAAGCTTTTGAGCAAATCCATAACTGGTTCATCATCTTGTGCATGTGGGAAACTGTCTTGCTGAAACCATACCCTGCACTTCTTAATTTTCTTATTCTCCAAAGTGTCTTCTAAGTCGTCCAAGAATTCCTCAAGCATGTTTTTGTATGGAGAATCGTTCTTGTTTCCTGTAGGAGAGTCCTCCATCGTGGTTTCCATGAAGTAGGGACCGATCAGACTCTTTCGAGACAAGGCACACCATATAGTCACCCTTTCAGAGGAAACAGTTTTTGGGCTTTGAATATCTTGACTTAGAGCATCTTCATTTTGGCCATCTTGGCTTTGGCCATCTGGATCTTTGACACCATAAAAACGAACATTCTCCCTCCTAACTTTTCCATCTAGGTAGAAATCAGCGCTATGCGTGAAGAAAGCTCTGTCCAGGAATTTCTTGTCTTCTTTCAGTTTGCTTGTTATCCAATTACAGAATTCCTTTCTATTCTCTTGTAGATATTCTTCATGCTCTGTTTCGGCTACTGACATGTAATATTTCTCCACTCGAGAATCATCTCCATCTGATGATGAGCGCATTTCTGCCGCACTTCCACTTTTAAAGAATGCGTCTATCACGCCTTCTATTGTTTTTTCGTCCGGGGTTTTCTCGCCAGGATGAATTTCTTTGAAGGCATTCTGAACAGCTTCTAATGATGTTCGAATTTCTATGTTCTTTTTCAAAATTTTTTCCTTTCGACTGTCCACAAGGTCGCTGTGATCCATTTTCTTCTGGACACCTAAAAGAAACCACAGATATCAAATAACTGTCAACTGACCAGATGGGTGACGCCCTGACAATCTCAGAAATGAAATTGAAGCCTTGAAAAGGCCTTGAGTTTTCACGACATTTCTCATATGCTGATCAGCGAAATGTTTTCCAGTATTTTTTTCCCTAAGACTTTTCTTTCATGAGGGCGAAAAAATGCAATCTGCTTGGGGATCAACTGCAAATTGGACTTACAACGCGACCATTTCGCACATGGCAAGAAGATGAACCACATGAAATTTAAATGGCAGAGAAACCTTGCGGTAATAGTGACTTGATTTTCGAATATGGACAATGTGGGATTCAGCGCGGAGGACAGACACCAGATGAAAGAAAGTGACATCATTTATTGCGACATAGTTCATAAGTGGTCCGAATAAAATGGGAAATGGGGGGATGGGGAATTTTTTTAATCACCTTTAATCCTCATCGCCAAAAAAGCAAACATTAGATGGTTTATAACATAGATAGTTCAGCTATGTCGACTTGATTTAGTACAGGATCGTAGAATTGTGCCATGAAGTAGGGTCCCAAGTAACACAAGATATTCCAGTAACGTTTAGGAAATGTTGATGAACAATGTTGCATCTATGTGTAAATGTCCAAAACGTCAACGTTGCTCAAATGTTTCGAAGGAACATTGCATTTACGTTGCAAATCGCTACTTATTCATTACATACACGTTGCAGATACGTTTCAATATTTATGTTGCTGCAATGTTGATTAAAAACGTTGCTTCACGGGCACCTAATCTGGGCCTATATTGGCATTACGGAAAAGCGTAGGCTTCACTGGTCCTGAACTGAACCGATATTCGACCAATATTATTTATTTCATCCTTTCGTACATTCTCATCAACAGGACGAAGCCTGTACTGGTATAACCCCTACTCCGTGCATAATATTGTATCTGTATCATGTACAGGCAGGAGACAGAACATTTTTGGAGGTGATCTTCCCCTGGATGTGCTAAATTGCACAATACAGGAAAAGGTCCGACCGCAATGTTCTATAGAGTGTCCACGAGATCAATACTTCGTTTCCTCAGCTAGAACCCAGAATGAGGACATGAAGTATTGAGATCGCAGACTCTTTACCATCGTTTTAATTGTCCCGTTCTTGGAAAGGGTTCCTTTTGGGAATATGAGCTTTTTCTATCTTGACCCCATTAATCTGTCTAGAAAATGAAGATAACAGGTGATGAAGTGTGCGTGTTCATTGATTCCTATAATGAGACAATGTGAGACATATGGCAAAGTACTAGACATTCCTGTGCGGGATGATTCAGGGGAAAGGGAGAAGGGCACTTTTGTGTACTGTGAGTAAGCGAGACTTACGTCTCCATCTCGTGGCAAGGAGGACAACTTTACAATTCTCTAAAACTTCTAAGTCCATGTTGTATCAGAATGTTGTCGCTACGTTGTCGATGTCGAGAGTGTCAACATTCTCTCAATGTTGATAGCTAATGTTGCAATGACATTCGTAGAAGTGTCGCAGCAACATTCCAAGTGAAAACATTGAAGCAATGTTTTCTCAATGTTGTACAGCAACTTGCAACATAGAGCAACATAGGCAACATTACGAAAACGTTTCATCAATATACTGTGTTACTTGGGGTATCGTTTCAAAAGCGCCAGAAATTGCAACGAAAGGCCCATAGTGGGTTTGTTAATTTCGTTCACAGTCTGCTCAGCGACATTGACTTAATGTTAATACTTTTTAGGGTGTTCATAGGATGCTAATGCTGGTGTTGAATGCATGGTCAACATCGTTCAGTTGATTACTCCATGCCCAGATAATGTTACATCCGCACGATGTTGAGTAAACCGTATGGCAGTTATTGGGAAAAAAAACTTGAAAGAGAATGCCAAATCCAACTAAAATCAATGATATTCTGGCCCTAAGGATTAAAAATGGACATTTTAGCTGCTGATGGAACCCCATGGACATAGTATTACCGTTGCTAATAATGATTCCACAGTTTCTCGTACTGATCATACTGCAAATATGATTCACATTATCATAGTTTCACCACATTGAGATCATGTTGCTATATCATGAACTGGGCACTGAGTTTCCCGCCACTGCACAGCCTACCCAACAGCCTTAAACCTGGCATCAGCAAGTTGCAACCTACTCGTAGCAATCAAGTTGAAATGAGACTTGTCTCACGTCAATTTTTATGCCGGATTCATGCAATAATCCAACATAAACATAGCGTTTGTGGTACATGCTTATTTAGTCGCATTTTACCGCCCAGAATCCCATAGGGGTCAGTCGTATCTCTTCTCCTGTTCCTTTTGTATGTATATGAGCTACCAAATTGTGCCCCCTTCTGGAAACTTCTTTCTGTTTGCTATTAACACCACATTTCTGCTTTCATCTCATAGTGTGCTCTGTAAGCAACCACTCATAAATAAGCGCACTATAAATATTGAGAAATGAGCAACAATAAATGGTCTGAGACTAAACAATGGGAAAATGTGTCTCATGTTTTGGATAAAGGAAATGATAAAATGCCTTAATTTCAAAACATGACATTGATTATGCCTAGGCCTAACGTTCGTGGAATATGTAGAGAAGGGGGGGAGGGGGTGAGTTGAGGTTGAAGAAAAGGAATAACAATGAAAAACGGTTTTCACTATCCCTTCATTTCGCCTTTTCTTTCCGATACTCGGAGGCCATTTCCACGTTATGAAGATTCGGATGTCCTAGCTTCCATTAATATATATATATATAAAAATAACAGTTTATTTTGTAAATAGCGAAATCATAGTCGGTGGTGAGATCACTTGATTACTTGAATGTGCTTCGTGGAAAAAATGCCAATGATTATCTAAAGAAGCAGACTCATTTTTTTTATCTCTCTTTTCTGTTTCTTCTTTGGAACACTTTTCCTGCCGTCTTTTATCATGTTTCAGTGCTTGAAAGCCTCTTGGGAATCAGGTGTGTTTGATCAGTGATTTTGAGTATGGCGCTGAAATTTCCCATTACGAAGGAGGAAAGTTAAGCCTGAGTTGAGCGAGCTTCAGAGTTGCTGCATGAATGCAGAAAGTGGTCATTCAAGTTGAAAAAGTGCACATGCAAAGTTCTGTAACTATCGGTACTCTGGCGTGGACGGTAAGACTACATTACAAGAGGTATTCATGATCTTACTGGCAAACTGCCTTATCGTTACTGATTTAGAGAATTTGCTCCCTTTGGAAAGGTTCTTAGTGGTCGATACGGAATCAATTACCTTGGGCGAGGATTCCTAAGCGAACCAGGTTTCACATAGATTACACTTATTCTAATTTTGCTACCTAACATACAGTTCCAAATGCAAGAAGATATCAGAGATATTAACAGTCAAACAATGATCTAATATCTTTAGCACAACCAAGCAAAGTCGACAGCTTCAGTTCGCAAAAACACAATGAAGATCTGAGAAAAGATAAACAAAAACTAGCTCACCATCGATACAGCAGCGCTCGCACCTTATCTCGTGATTTATTAAAATCACGGGTTGCACAATGAAATCGAAAGGGGTTGCTCGGGCTCCAACCGTCGCATGCCCACTCTCCGATCTCGTCCTTCCCATTTCTGATCTTTCCTTCCGGCTTCAACCACCAAGGAACAGGTTCTGGTTCCAACCGGATCCGCCTAAGTCCGGCTTCAACCAACACTTAGATACTCAGCCCCAACCGAATAGAAATAGCCAGGTTCCAGATTACATACGGGACCCTAGTCCTGACACTTGGTGACAGTATGCGAAGTCTGGAACACTCTGTCCTCTCACCTCCTCCTCCTCCTTAATGAAGTTCGAGGTCGAGTTTATATAGTGTTCCTTCCCATTAGTCCATGTCACGGCATGTCGAGCAGTGAGTATCTGGATGACTGGACGAATGCTACCACATCAATAATAATCCTTTAATGAAGTGGTTCTCCTGACGAACGTCGATTCCTTTTGAACCATGTCTTGGAGCGCCATAGATCAAAAGGTATAATTCCTTTTCTCACACCACCGTCCTCGTCTACCGGTACACTAATGCCACTGAATGACGAGTGGACGATAGAAAAATTAGTATTGTTTTTCCATTATTCCTGGGAACTCATTAGGCATCCAAGAATGGAAGATGATTAGTCACTCGGGTGCTATAGTTCCCTGTTCAGGCCCTACTACAGGGTGATTTTTGTATTATTTGGACCGTTACACAAGTTTATCATCTTGGAACAAATAGAGATAGATGTATGAAATTTCACATCAAGAATCCATAAAGATGGGAAAGTTATACTTCGCAAAAAAACATGCTCAATGTGCCCGCAATCACTGGTCGCAGGGAAGTGATGTAATTTTGCACAACTGCCTGCAGGGAATTCAGGAAAATGGAGTAACTTCACGTTCTGTGACATCCTTCAGGTCTCTAAACATGCACGGATTTAACCATGACTCGAAACCTTTGTCCTTCAGGTATCCCGAGAGAAAATAGTTACACAGATTGAGGTCGTCGCTTGCCAACGCAGCGAAAGTTGCGTTATACTTCCTGAACGAGAACTCCGGTACCAGAATGCTGTCTAGCAGATTTCCTGATATCCACAGCGTTGGATTAGCATGACCACCATTTCCCCTCAATTTCAATTCATGTTGTTATTTCCTCTGGGAACACCTTAAGGACAAATTCTTCGAGTCAAGGTTAAATCCATGCACGTTTGGAGACTTGAAGCTGGCCGCAGAACTTGTCATCTACTTCATATCCTGGGATACTCTGAAGTCAGAATTACATCACAACCCTACGACCTGTGATTGCGTACAAAGGAGGATATATTGAACGTGTTTTTTCATTGAGTATAACCTTCCAATGTTAATGGATTCCTGATGTGAAATTTCATGCATTTAACTCTATTCCGTTCCAATATCTAATATATATCGACGATCGTGACTGACTGACTGACTGACGCTAATTCTGACCATGTTCAAGAAGGGTTAGAAATGTGAAACTTGGTACACATGTACCTTTTAGGATGCAGAGTTCAGAAAAAATTCCACTTTGGAGGTACATGCCCTGAGGGAACGAACTTTTGGGGTTGTTTTTCTTAAAGTACAGTATATTTTGTGACAGATGAGGATGGCATGCAGAGAGTCAACTGATTGTCCTGGGTTCGGTGGTGTAGTAGTGGCATACTTGACTACCAATCAGAAAGTCCGGGTTCAATTCCCAGCCAATCCTTGGATTCCTTTTGGCTTTTTTTGCCTTCCATGTCTCGTTACTCATTTCCATTAACATTATTATTATTTATATATATCATTATTATTATATATATTATTATTATTATATAAATAAATCCTTCCACGGCACCCTGCCGGTATTGGAGATATGAGGGGGGATGAACCACATCCCAGACCTCATACTCGTCTTAATTCTGAAGGACACGGCGAAGGATGCTGGCCGTGCCCAAGATTGCTGTACGCTGGAGGATATCGAGTGATATTTCACACTCCAGCTTCTTGACATGTCCTTTGAAGTCTTTCAGGACTTTCCAGTAGTGTCTATGATGATCGGAACTATGGTGGTCTTCATTCCGCACAACTGTTCCACTTCCACTTTCAGTTCGGAGTATTTTTCCAGCTTCTCCCTGGTCTTCTCTTGGAGGTTGTTATCGGCTGGGATGCTCACATCTACGAGGAGGGCGGTCTTCTTCTCCTTCTTATAGATCGTAAGGTCCGGCCTATTGCAGCCTATACTGCGATCTGTAATTATAGGCATGTCCCATAGTATCTTGGTGGAGGCGTTCTCCACGACAGACTCTGGCTGGTGTTCGTACCACTT